CTATTGTACTTACCCAAATACCGAATCAGTCCCTTGAGATCTGAAAGATATTCTATATCAGGAATAAAGAAGCTGTGGATTTTAGTCATATGAGCCACATTCTTCATGAGAGAACTTGAATGATGGGGACAAAATAAGCAGTCCGTTATAGGGATGGCACCAAGGGGGGCACTTCCCCCAGCCTCTTCCTCTTCTGCTTCCTGCTCCAATTCGTCCATCGATTCAGCATCCTCACAGTCCAACTCTTCATCAGAATCAATATCTTCCCAATCTTTAAGCCAGAGATTTGAAAATCAGGGTTAGTTTAAGAAAAGTGGTAACCCCAATCCAAGAAACCACAGATACACATACCCCGGGTGCTACAGTCCTATATTTGGGGCGACAGGGTGCTGACCTCCTAGGACACACCCTCTTTTAAGACCTCAATTTTGACTATTCCTTTACTACAGACCAATTTGTATGGCTAAGAAATCCCTTAATCTGCCTCTTCCGGCCCCCGGTAAGCTCCCTGAAGGAGTCTTGGCTTCTTTCCTGCGTCTACGTGAACTCATACGACCAGTGTTAATGGGATGTGTCATGACGGGAAGAAGGGATAGCTCCTAAAGTCAAGGAGGCGAGGTTGCGGGCTCCAGCTCCACATTTCAGGTTCACTAGCTGATTTCTGAACCCCTCATTTTATTGTTTCAATCCAACAAATTGAGTGCAAAAAATCATAACTATCAATAGAAACCCAACAGAATTACAAATTCCAGCGGACAGCTTGGTGATAACAGGTTCTCCTATGCATCCGTTAAAAGTCTCCTTATTAAAAGAAAAAAAAGGAGAGAGANAGAAGCCATAAAAAAGCACCAGTCAGAAGTAAAGAATACAATAACTGAAATGAAGAATGCACTAGAAGGCATCACCAGCAGACAACATGAAACAGAGGATCGAATCAGCAATTTGGAAGATAACAGAAAACACCCAATCAGAACAGCAAAAAGAAAAAAAATTAAGAATAAGGATAGTTTAACAGACCTCTGGGACAACAACCATAACAATATTCGCATCATAGGGGTACGAAAAGGAGAGGAAAGCAAGGGATTAAGAATTTATTTGAAGAAATAATGACTGAAAACTTTCCTAACCTGGTGAAGGAAATAGATATACAACCCCAGAAAGTGCAGAATTCCCAACAGGATGAACCCAAACAGGCCCACATCAAGACACATTATAATTAAAATGGCAAAGGTTAAAGACAAAGACAGAATCCTAAAAGCAGCAAGAGAAAGGCAACTAGTAACTTACAAAGGGGCCCCCATAAGACTGTCAGCTGATTTCTCAACACAAATTTTGCAGGCCAGAAGGGACTGGCAGGAAATATTCAAAGTGATGAAAAGCAAGGAGTTACTCTTACCAAGATTACTCTACCCATCAAGGCTATCATTTAAAATTGAAGGATAATGAGCTTCCCAGACAAGAAAACGCTAAAGGAGTTTATCATCACCAAACCTTTATTACAAGGCATCTTAGAGGGGCTTTTTTAAGACAAAAAAAAAACCGATAAAATAAAATGGCAACTGCTACATATCTATTAACACTTTGAATGTAAATGGATTAAATGCTCCAATCACAACTAGGGTGGCTGAATGGATAAGAAAACAAGATCCTTACATAAACTGCCTACAAGAGAGTCACTTCAGATTGAAAGTAAAGAGATGGAAAAAGATATTTCATGAAAGCAGAAACAATTTAAAAAGTTGGAGTTACCCATACTATACCAAACAAAATAGCCTTTAAAACAAAGAGACAAAGTAATCCCACTTCTGGGTATTTATCTGAAGAAACCCAAAACACTACGAGGGGACGTGTGCATCCATATGTTCATTGCAGCATTGTTTACAATGGCCAAGATGTGGAGGCAGCCTGGGTGTCCCTCGATGGATGGATAAAGAAGAAGTGGTCCATATTATATATACAATGGAATATTGTTCAGCCATGGAAGGGAGTGGGTTCCTGCCATCTGCGGCAGCATGGATGGACCTGGAGGGTACTGTGCTGAGTGGAGTATATCAGACAGAGAAAGACAGATGCAATGTGATCGCTTATATATGGAATCTAAAGAGCAAAATAAAAAAACAAAACAGAAACAAACATAGATACAGAAAACATTTTGATGGTTGCCAAGTGGGAGGGGGATTGGAGGGATAGGTGAAAAAGGTGAAGGAATTAATAAGTACAAATGGTAGTTACAAAATAGTCCCAGGAATGTAAAGTATGGGGAATATAATCAATGATATGGTAATAACTATGTATAGTGGCAGATGGGTGCCGGACTAGTCAAGGGGATCACTTCTTAAATTATATAAATATCTAGCCACTGTGCTGTACACCTGAAACTAGTATAGAATAATAATAAAAAGAAATAAAGTAGTAAATGAAGCCTGAAAAAAAAATGTGTCAAACACCTTTGTGCAAGAACATTAGAAAATGAGATGAAAAGACAAAATTAAAGTNCAAAAACAAACAAAAAACTCATAATTTATAAAATGGTGATGTGGATAGAGGTGAGATAGTGGGTTGTTTTACAAACCGAGAATCAGAACTAAGAAGGTATCTTCCTGAAACCTGGAAGAAGTAGAGAGTTAGATAAATGGAGGGAGTGTGTTATAGGTCAGCAAACACAATGTCCTCGTTGCTGCCCACAGGTAAAAATGTTCAAAAGTAAGAGTATGGATACAAACAAGTGCACTCTAGTGCTGGGCTGGTGTGGGAACGGCGGGCTGGAGGCCAGCAGGTGTCAGCTCCAGGGAGAGGTGAGCCCCGTGTGGGGGACACGCTGTGGACGCCTCACACCCGTCAGAAACAATGAGCCAGGTTTATCAAGTTGAGTGAATGAAAAACGCACAGTATCACGTGCATTCAGTTAGGTGTAAATTAAAAACATACCTCATGGGAAGTGCTACCTCATCTTCCCAAGATACAGATTTAAAAATGTGTCAAACAACCAATGACCCAAGCTGGCGGAGTAGGTAAACGCTGTGCCTGTCTCCTCCCATGAACGCATTAAAATCACAACTAAATTATCAACCTGGAGAACCATCTGAAGTCTAGCTGAGCAGAAGTCCTATCATTAGGACTATAAGAAGCCACCATGAGACTAGTAGGAGGGGTGGAGATGCAGAACAGGCCAGCCCCACCCTTGCCTGTGGCCATTGAGAATCAGGAGGGATTATCTCACAGGTTCCTCCCCACCCCTGAGGAGCAAAGGACCCCCCACATGAGGCTGTGAAAAACAGGGGGGATTCCAATAGCCAGGTGAGACAACAAAGCTGTGTAAATCCAGACGTCCTCTTAAACAGCCCACGCACAGACTCACACGCTCGCAGCACTCACCTTGGGCTCCAGCGGTGGGACAGTGACTCTGGGGCAATTGGAGACATATGAGGAAACTGAGCTATATGGCTTGGAGGGAGAACTGGTGGGACAGTTGCCATTTCCCGTGTATCCCCCTCCCATGCAGCCAGCAAGCAGGCGCCATCTTTCCTGTGTTGAGCCCTCCCCCACGCCCATAACCAATCTGAATCTAATTGGCCTGATGAGCTCCACTGGCTCCACCCTGGTGATTCCCACACCACGCCTCACCCAACCCGCCTACCACAGGAGGCTTTATCAGCAGCTGAGCCTTACAGGAGCCCACAGGTGGCAGCAGGCAGCACAGTGTCCTTTTTGCAGAGCTACCGCAGGCCTGGAACTGGCGGCAGCCTTCCTCAGTTTGCATCATGGCCTTTCCCCTGTGCCTCCAGGTTTAGCACAGGCAATGAACAACTGGATCGCTTTGTAGCTTCTGCCAGGTAGTCTCCAGCCGAGCACAGCAGTGGCTGACCTGGGCCTGCACTGGAGCCCCTCCCAAGAGGCCCCAGAACCAACATACTTGGAGGTTGACTCAGACCACAGCACAGCACCTTCCAATTAGCCCTAAAAGTGGCACACACAAAGGGTGGTCTCAACAGGCACCAGCGCCCGCTGGGGCCAATCCTGTTCTGTGGGGTAAGCCCCCCACCCCCGATACAATGGCCTATAAGCTGTGCATGTGGCCAAACCCCACAGCCAGTCAGCCTGAGGGTCAATCCCACCCACTGACCTGCCAACAGCAATCAAGGCTCCCACACACGGGACACTCCTGGAGCACCTGTGAGCCAGGGCCCCAGAGGCACCTCCTACATAAGGCAAGGCCACCTGGCCAAGACTGGGAGACACACAAGATCTACCTAATACATAGAAACAAACAGAGAGAGGCAAACAAACTGAGGAAACAAAAGAAATAAGTCCCAAATGAAAGAACAGGAGAAAACTCGAGAAAAAGGACTAAACGAAATGGAGGCAAGCAACCTACCAAAGACAGAGCTCAAAACAATGGTTATAATGCTCAAAGAACTTAGTGAAAATTTCAACAGAGAGTAAGCACAAAAAAAGGACA